CTCCTCTCGTCTCTCTCTCTCTCTCTCTCTCTCTCTCTCTGTCTCTCTCTCCCCCCCTTTCTTCTTTTACTTTATTAAAGAGGCTTTGTATATTAATATCTTACCACATTTAATATTAATGTTACATTTGACATTAATGTCATTTAACATTAATATTGTACAAGCAAATTAATATTATCAATTGCATTATTAAGATTACACATTATTTAAAACGCATTTTATCGTTTTTTATCCATATTTAAATGTGTAATGTAAATGTGTTATGTAAAAGTTTATACTTAAATAAGACAATGTAAATTTTTCTTATATTACTTATTATATTTTTCTTATATTTCTTATATTTTCTTATATTATAGCTTCATATATTAATGTATGTGGCCCGTAGAGACCCAAATCTTGATCAGTGCATCATAGATAATATCAACAATTTGAAGGGAAAATTATGTGATGGGCTTCCCGAATTAAACATTCCGTCAGCCAAAATATATACTTTGGACAAATTAGTTATATCCGATACATCTAACACCAAGATATATATTAAAAATGCTCAAGTAACAGGATTGTGTGATTTCGACATAAATTACTTACATACAAATGTCGAAAAACTTCACTTTGATTTTAATCTATTGTTTAAATGGATCCAAATAAATGCCACTTAGGACTTTGACATACGTTTACTGGTGCCCTTTGCTTATAAGGGAATGGTTTACATTACTATAGATATGCAAATAATCAATGTTGCAAGATAAAATAGAAGTTTAAAAAGATGTTTCAAAAGATTTCAAATTTAATATATTTTTATTGAAATTATTTAATTGTCTCTTACAGATAATGTCAGAGCAAAAGTAGACATGGATTTAAAGGTGACAACCAAAAGTGTTAAAAAATATGTATATGTATCGAAGTTGAAACTTAACATCGATCTCAAAAAATACAATGCTGAATATGATTTTAATGACAATACACAATTAAGTCAATTTCGCGAAATTATTAGGAATTTTGTAGGCAACAATCAAGAGGAAATTATTAAAACTTTGAAACCGATTCTAGAAGAGACAATCTCTAAACGAATCATACTGATTTCTAATGATATAGTTAAAGAATTTACTTACGAAGAACTCTTTCCTGATCGAATATAAAACTCCTAAAATTTGGAACTTTAAATAATTAACACATCTCTGATTTATTTGAAAAAATATAAACATGTAATACTGGACTACAATTTATAAGAATTGACGATATAAATTTCACTTTGATAACAATGGAAACAGGTTTACAATAGAAGACAGCAAAATTATTATCATTAACTTTTAACGTAACAATATAAATGTGGAAAGAAATATTATTGGAAGAAGATAATTTAATAATTTAATAATAGTAACTAATAATAGTGTTTAACGTATATTTAAGTTTGTCTACGTTTGTGAAATTAAAAATATTAAGCTATTTTCGTCGAATATCTTGAATAGTATCTGTCCTCACTATTGTGAAAATACATACAATATGTTATCTAAGACAATCAATTTAAATACTACGCAGTCTGTATGCAGACTATAAAAAATTGTGACTTATTATAGAATGGAATTATAGAGAAATATAAACATATTGTTAAATAATTAATATTGTTTAGAGATATAAAAATTTTAATTTAGATGAAAAATATTAGTAATATTTATTAATATTGATAAATACATTTTTATATTTTATGATTTCAGAAATTTTAAATCAAACCGAGTTAAAAAAAGAGTCGAAATTGCAAAAAAAAAGAAATTTGATTATATAATAATATAATCCTGTATATAATCCTATTATCAAACTTATAGAAAATTTTTTAATGTCTTAAATTATTTCCTTCTTTTTTTTTAATTTTTCAAGTTATTCAAAATTTCAAACTTTATTTTTTATCTTCTTTTCTATAATAATCAAATTATAAAAAATTTAAGATACAAATACTTTTATTAATACACAATAACATTTTGATTTGTATTTTAGATCTTTGTAATTACCATTACACTTACTGTTTATATAATACCAATTTCATTAGTATTAAACATCACATAAACATCGTCTCATTGCTCTGTTATTGTCTAATTTATCTTGATTCTTAAGTCTCTTTTATGTAATGGTTCTTATGCTAGTAATTATCATGGCGTATGCTTTTTCTAAAGTGCGTCACACCAATCGAATTGCAAAAGTACGATTGTATGTAAATGTAAAAGTATGTAGCTGAATAAAAAATATATTACCTTTATCTTTTTAATTTAAGTATTGATAAAAAAAATTGAATAAAAAGACATAATAATGAATAAAAATTCAATAGTTCTTTAGTTATTAATTATTAGCGTTATATGTTAATAAAATAGTATGCTAATTCTAGAATT